TTTAAGGATCGAGTCCAGGACCGTCCTTTTGGATCCTAGGATCGGACCGGACTGGATTCGCAATTTAACATCCCTAATAATAGGCATTCTAACTATTTGAAAAAAACTTTATTTAATTAATAAAGATCCTATGGTTCGCACCCGGGTCTAATTCATGGTGTCTACTATTTTGGGGATCTTGTATATGAACTTTTACGGTACTTGCATCATTTTTTTCTAAGTTAGAATGACTCATAAATAACTCCACATATAGACTTCGATCAACGGGTAAACCTATTTAAATATATATGTAACAAATAAATCAATACGTAATTTTTTTGCAAAAATTTTAACTTTAAATAACAGTACGTATCGGTATGGTTAACGAGTGTTCCTTTTTAAGGGTAAATAGGTTAAAGCGAAACGACTACTAACATTGTTTTAGGACAATGCAACTATATGCAACTTAGTCAAAATAATGTAGCTTTATTTTTAAATTTGCTTTTTATAAACTATCATATTCGTCATAATGTATCATAATTCTTATCGAATAATTAACATGTGGGTTCGACACGGCTAATCTATAACATTAAAAATGAAGTTCTTGAATAAGACCCAGGTACTAACTATTATACGCTAAATGGGACTAGCTAGAATGCTTTATTGCAAATGGCAATTAAAAAAAAAAAAAGTACAACTGGTAAATAGCTTTGATTACCCAGTTAAATACAATAGCATATATCGTATTTTCGCATTATTAGAAAATCTGTCCCCTAAAAATAGCATGCATGGTTTCAAAATAACGCTCATGCACGTCCCGAAATGACGCGCACCCACATTGGATTTCAACAAATAATTTGATATAACAGACAGGTTTGGAAAATTTATCTTTGTCTCAAAAGAACGCCCATTCGCGTACTCTAAATAACGCGCATATACTCAAAATATCACGCGGGTGGACGTTATTTCGCGAAAGTACGGTACTAATTTTATTTTAAGAATATTGCTAACTTGCCCCCCTGGTTAAATCATCAGAGAGTGCTATATATCAAAAACATACCAAGTAATTAAAGTTAAGTAAAAATGTTCGGAATCACAAAAAACTTATGCATAACAAAATTTGGACCTTTATATTAAATTTTTATTATGTTATACGTATAAACCTTTAAATTTTATGTTAAAATTGCATCCTGACCATCACCACCGGTTGAATTAGTTATTTTCTTATTTTAAATATATTATAAGTATTGGTTTTTATAATTTAACTAATTTTCCACCGTGGTTAAAATTATAAATTTTACCATCTATATATTGATTTTATTTTTAAAAATTAAAATTAAAATTAAAATCAGTATTAAGATTAGGATTAGAATTAAAGCTAGTATGGGTTTTTTTATTAAGGTGTTAAACATTTTTACTTATACATCAAATATAGTTATTTAGTCTAGTTTTTAAGATAGCATAAAGAGGGTGATTATAAAACCAGGGGGCAAATTAGTTTTTTTTACAGGTTTTTACCTTATTGAAGCTTTATTGAAACAGTTAAAATATAAAATAGATATTTGAATATTTAAATTAAATAATTAATATGTAAAATTATGAATACTTATTATACGTATTATATATTTGTATTTAAGTTTTTTTTAAAACAAAAAACAAATATTTTTTTGTAAATGTTGTATGTGTTTGCTTTATTACAATATTGTATTTTTATTTAAATATTATATATATTTATATTTATATTTATAATAGTAAAAACAAAAGCTTGCTTTTTTATTTTACTTCAAATAATATATATTATGTTAAACTACAGATATTATTTATAGCTAAAATACTGTATAACACTTTAAAAATTTAATATTTTATTACAGTTGTTTATGTAGTACAATATACAGATTATTATAATTATACGTACAACTATATATATATATATATATATATCTGATATATACAAAAGAATCTACGTACTGTATAACCTACTATATATATACATATATATATATACAAATATTTTTTATTATGCGTATTTAACTATATATTATATATATATATGTATTAATTACTGTCGCGCTGCGAAATCGAATGGTGCTGAAATCCTAGTACAATTCTAAAAAAAAAAAAAAAAACCTAAAAAGATATACCCCCAAAAATTTTAACAATTGTATGTACATCGTACATTAAATAGGTTCTAATATATATACTATGATTATACATATACTATATGCATTAACTGCAACCTGATATATCCAAAATTTTGTCCCAAATCCCAGTAAGTTTGGGTCAAGTTCCACGGCTTTAACTAGTCCCAAATAGTGGTTAATATCCTAGAAAGTCCCAAAGCCCCAAACTAGTTAGGTTTGGACGGCAACTATACTGCAATCAAACAAATTCTATTTTTAAAACAATTAGAATATTATATTACTTAATTAAAAAAATTACAACTACAAATTTTGGGTTTACAGTACTATCTTAAAAGGAAATATATAATAAAACTATATATATATATTTATACACATTTTATATATTGCTATATACGGTAATATAGATTTGCAACGACGTACTGTACGTATAACTTGAATTATAAATTTATTATTACAAATTATTAGATATACATAGATAAATAACTGATAAAAACAAAGTTAAATAAAAGATAATTGGACAATAAAATAATCGCAAGATTAAGAGAAATAGATTTAACAATAATTCATCCATTTTTTAAGAAATCAATTATACGTTAAATAAATGACTAGTATAATAGTATTAGTGTTTATTAAAAATACATATCAAAAAAATGTATTGTTCGTTTATCGTATTAATGAAACATTAACCAAAAAAATGTAAGGTGAATTATTATTATTTTATGGCGACACGTTCTCAAAAGGACGAACATTAAGAAAGTATGAGAAAAGCAGAATGGCAGTAAACGATATGTGTGAAAGGATTGTTATGGATTAATGGTTGAATTGTTCGTCATTTTGAAATAACTCGAAGTAATAGAATATGATACTTAAAACATTATGAAAAAGTATTTTTCATACTGCGTACCAATTAGTCCAATCACTGCCTCAAACTTTGTGTGTTCTTCCAATCTCACAAAGAAGTCGCCCGCAAGTAAATTTAATATTAAGGCGAATAGATATGAAATAATATTAATTAATTATTTAAACGTGTGTATACATACATACTGCATATGAAAGATGTGTTAACCAAAAAATCTATAAACAAATATAAATACCAATAATAATAAAATACAAAAAGGTGAAAACTCTAATTTTAAACGCTTTAAAGTTACAAAATGACCAAAAATACACCCAAATTATATAATACTCGAACCCAATAAATTATTATAATGACTTCGTTTCTTGACTCTCACCACTAGAAAACGATGGATTGTGTTTATGAGATCCGATTTTGTTAAAGCCAATATCAGCCTTACGTGTGGAAGCAGATGTTAAATATTTTTCAGTTTTAACAAATTTTGGAACAGAATCCGTAGCCATGAGCCTAAAAATCGTATCCTGAATTTTATCATATAAATGACCTGTTATTTTACTAGATGAAGATTTCTCAGCACCAGGAGACTGCGGTACTATCATTGTCATGTATTGAATCATATCCTGCCTTAAATTATGTTCAAGATTCACTTCATGCGGTGATTGAGGAGCCAGGTAAGTACTATAAATCCGAAAAGCATCATCAATAAGAGCAGCTTGTTTATTAGGGTCTATTATTTCGCTATCCTCATTTATGCTTATATTGTATTTTACTTTGAAATCTTGAACTTCTATATAGAACAATAAATTTTCTTCACAAAAATTGGCCTTCAAAAATTCCATAAATAAAGAACGTAGGGAAGGATCATCCAATATTTGTTGAAGTTTTTTCGTATTAGATTCTTTGGTAATATAACTATACCCATCTTTATCGCCCGTAGAGTTACGATGTGCTTCATTAAGTTGATTTAGCAAAGGTCTATCGCTTGTATTTGAAATACTTTGTAAGTCGTTATTATTGTGGTAAGAAAGATTGGGAATACTCTTGCTTTTACCGTTTTTAATAAGAGTATTTGAATTACCGCTAAATTGTTGTGTATTATAATTACTATGAACATCATAATCCCATAAGGCTGTCTCTCGTCCATAATCAGTAATCTGATAATAAGTAGATTTAGAATATCTAAAAGCATTTTGTCTATCAGATTTCTTTTTATCATCACTAATTTTTTCAGAGATGCATTCGATAAAACCATAACGTATAAATTCAGTTGCAACTTTCACGGCCTCTTCTTTGGTAATTAAAGTCGTAAAATCGCATAACCACTCGACAGCAGCAACGCCAGAAAAAGTTTGATGATACATTTGATGATTAAACAGTCGATTCTTAAGCTCAATTCCAAGGGTACGATCACCTTTTTCAGTAGATGAGCCAGAGGCAGAATCAGAAGCAGCATCTCTATAGTCTACATCATAATTTGTAATATCATTTGGTTTAATGCCAACGAACTTTCGAAAAATTAACTCAATATTTTGCCTATTCAAGACAATAGAATCATTATCCGAACTTCGCTCGATATAATATAGCTTTATCGAAGAAGTTTGCGAGGCAAATAACTTTGTCAAATGTGGAGCAGTGATTCCGTTTCTAGCGACGAAACGCTCCAAAATAAACAGACCTTTTGGAGTAAGACCGTATACATTTCTGTCTTTGAAGGACCGACTGCTTGAATCCGCAAGGTTTACAAACAATTTAGAGTCCATAAAAGTTTGGCACACACTTTTTGCCATTTCTTTAGTCATGCTGAAAGTTGTAGTTGTTGTGGTCGTTATGATGCGTGAAGGATCTTTCGGATCTGGAGTCCTATGTGATTGAGTAAATTTCAAAGAGCCAAGATTTGCAATAGCTTCCTCAGTTGTGAATGAATTGGAGTAGCTTCTGAATAAATATCGATGGGATTCCATTGGTAATGAAACGACCAGCGTAGAATACAAATCATGGATATCCTAAAAAAATTTGAATTGTATTTATTTTTTTAAAAACGTTAATTATTTTTATAAGTAACAGAAATAATATGAATATATGCTATTATAACAGGTATATATTCTAATTTTTAATTAACGGTTCTCCATAAAACACTATAGAACAAATTCAGCAAAGTTACCCTTTGCTCGAGTGATATAACAAATATGCACTCTAAGCTTTCCTCTCCCGCTCTAAACCCTCAGTAGCCTAATATTCAAGTAAACTAACCTTTACAAAAGGTCGCCCTGACCTTGTTGTTTTCATCATATGTGTTGAGGATTGCTGGTGCACTTGTGGCTGATTAGACGCCATGATTTGTATGACCTTTTTTTTTTTTTTTTTTTTCTTCCTTTCAACAGAAAAAAATACTTGACAAAATAAAGTGTGCGCTTAAACTTTTACAGACAAAAAAATTTAGAAAATTTATCAAGAAGAGTTTAAGTAAAAAAAAGAAAAAAAAAACCCTGGTTTTGATTTATGTAGTATAAAAAAAATGCAACGTAATGATGCTTGTGTTAATGGTATAATGTTTAATTTATTTATGCTTTCCCACAAACAATGAGAATGTTTTTTTAACATAAAGTGCTTGTCAAACATTGAAAATTCTATTTTAAGTTATGCAGCTTTTGCTGCTTTTTTATTAAATTTTAAATAGGTTTTTTTTTAGATATTTGTTTACATAATTTAGCATAATAATGTAATACAGAAATAATTCGATTAAGAGCGTTTTGGGATTTTTTGCTATGAAAATCATTTTTAGGATGTACAGTACGTATAGTATATAAAAGATCCTAATTTTCAACTTAACTTTCATTAATAACAAAAAAAAAGATATACATAGTTCTCACTATTATCAGTTACGTTAATAGGTTTGCAGCATCAAAAAACATTTCTTCAATATATGAATAAGAGACTTCAACTCAGCGATGCATCAAGAAATCATGGGAATTGGCTGTGCACTTATAACAGGTCTAAAATGTCATTTTTGTCATATAAACTTTCCCCACACACAGATGAGGATCTTTAAACAAATATTATGTTTCATATCTTCCTTTTTTCATACTTATGAATGCCAGACTTTATTAAATTATCACACTAATCAATAGATAATTTAGCTCGTACAACCACAATTTGTTTCGGACAAGATTTTTGTAAAAAACATTTAAGATAATCAAAATTTGTCAAATACTCAAAAACACTCAAAGATAAAAGTACGTTACATTTAAACCTCGCGGACGCCCTCGTGATTCATACCAATATATGCCACTGAATGCATTTATACTTTAAAATAATAAGGTTGCATGGTTAATTGAACATCTTCCCGAATAAAAACCTATCGTTATATGATGTAATCAAAACAAAAGATTCTATTTATCATTCCATGTGACTTCTGCTATTCGTTTTTGAAAGTTGTGATTAGTGGAAATTGCAACACAAATAAAAAGGTAATTATTATGTAACTCCCATGCAAAATTAAATATTTTTCTATAGTACACGCGACGCTCAATGACTTATACACTTAAAGTTTGCATTAATTCTATATACAATACATTAGTGCTTCACCTTTTGTAACTAAATTGACAAGCATCTACTCTTTGGAAAGTTTATGCATTCTAATAATTAGATCATCTTCGAGATTCTTTGTTTAAAGTCAATGAAACACTTCAGGGGAAATTACCCGTCATTCACTTAATGACTTAATGAGTTGATCGCTAATACCTCCGATTATTCTATTACCCGCTTTTTTTCATTTATTAATCCGGGTTACAATTCATCCGTCTGGATCTGCAGGTAGTGAATATGATGCATGTACTGATAAATTTCAACCCCTGATCCTGACCATCCAGACCCTACATGCCAACTCCCACGAGAGAATAATATCTTCAATGCTAACTAGGTACGCAGCAATTATATTATGTTAAAGGTTTAATGCCTATTACGTATTATATGCTTTTTTGCCATAGCATGACCAATTTGCAGCCTCATGTACGTACAGTATGTGCGTACATTTGGTATCAGATATCAGATATGAAATTGAATGCATTTCCATACGGAAAATACAGCATTCTTTTGAAAAATGAGCTAGTAAACAATTAGATGATCTATTGATTCACATGGCATCATTTAATGTATGCGTGCAATAATTGTTTTGGCGCAAAGTTTTATGTTTTTTAACAAATAAGTGATCATAGATTCGTAAGAATAGAACGAAAAAATATTTCTCCTGCATTTTTTAGAAAGCTTAAAAAAAAAAAAGACATTTCTTAATATCTATTTGAAACACCTTTGTGGCAATCACAATTATACCCCATTTTATAAGCAAATATGCGCATGCTGTTTACATAACGATAATCTCTAAGTCATTATTTTCGTCCGTAAATGTAAAGTCTTATAATGTCAATCGATTTGATTGGTTAAAGTCTGTACTTTAAAGCATGTAATGCAGAGCCGATAATTTCAGTGCAACTTACTGGTCCAATAATATCTCTGTCACAGGTAGTGTTCAGGCATAAAAATTTTTTAATCGACGATTGTAGTTGTCTATATATATATATATAGTTGATTATTACATTTGCTACGTAACTCTAATAAAAGTTATTGTAGCTTTTGTGTTTCTAATAACGGTAAAATTGTTAAATCAACTTGGTAAATTATATGACAAAAAGCATTTTAATTTTTGTAATATTTAGAGATGGATTATGCCCTGCATACATGCAATCATACCTCATAATATCGACAGTAACGTTAACGTAAATTTCAAATTATCTGTAATATTCGTCATTATACAAGAATAGATTAACCGCACAACCAAAATTCAGCAGATCGAAGTTCGGAATAGGCCAGAATTAATAATTTTTTTCTAAATTATTTTCACTGATAAGCCGGTAGTCTATATATTAAGTAAAATTGCTCAGCTATTGATTTTGCTATAGTACGTACTAGTTATCAGTCGGGTCGTAGATGATAACTGATTATTCATCTACTAAAGACATAGTATTATCATCAGTGTTAAAAATTCAAATTATTTTTATACGCACAATCTATTAAGTCATATGCGCTTCTACCATTATGAAATGTCGCGTCTATGACCCTTCAATCACACGAACCATGACCACCAAAAGCAGTTACGCACAGAGTTAAACTCATCTATCGAAAAATTTGATGATGCAATATATTAGTCGTTTACGACGATACGTTAAGGCCACGCAAAGTAAATTTTTCGTTTAACATTACATGGAATCTGAAAATTGGGTCTGTCGGTCGATTTTTTTTTTTCTTTTTTCTTTCTTTTTTTTTTTAAATATACTTTAAATTAGTAGAATTATGGTCGTATTTTAAGGTTATGCAAAGTTATTCTTTTTTTTGCATAACAAGGAATTAGAAAATTGGGTTGGCTATCATTTTTTTCTGTTGGTTCTATCGGATAATTCCGGGATATCGGGTGTCTTCATCGGGTGATACCGGATAAAAATTGCAGAAAAAATAATCGAATAATTGGCACAATTGAGATGTAAAAAAAAAAAAATTTAGAAAAATTAAAAAAATGAGTCAGCAGGTAATGTTAAACAAAAAATTAACTTTACATGGTCTAATATAACAACATAGTAAAGCATCCTTTCTTACCAAATATTATTGTTTATGCTATTGAATAATAAAACTAATGAATTTAAAATAACAAAAAAAAAACATAAGGGAGAGTCGGGTATTCTGGTACTCTTAAGAGTTGCTCATATAAAATTTTTCAGAAAAAATTTATTTGTTAAAATTTATTGAGATAGATTAATTATCTAATTAATTATCTTTTTATATAAAAAAAATTGAAGTAAAAAAAAAAACTTTGAAATTTAAACTTTTAAATCTAACAAAAAAACTTGTTTTTTTATATATTGTATTACTGTCCTTCTTACAAATATCATCCAAATGAGATAATATATAGTAAAAGAAAAATTAAACATGTAAATAATACATGAGCTATAATATTTGGCCTTTATTTATTTTGTAGTTTAATAATTAGAACCCTGTAATTTTTATATAATTTAAATTATTTCAATGAGATAAACCGAATAGTATTAAAATTTTTTGATTCTGATCAGTGTATTTCAAGATATTATCAAAAAACTTTGGTGCACCAGAATACTCGATCCTCCTTTATATTAAGGGCTTAACACAGTCTCGGATATTACCAAATTTGGACAATGCAGATCATCTCCTTTTTTGTACATTTAGAAAATTCTTGGTACTTCCATTTAAGTTTATAGTTATTTTATACTAGTATATGGGGCTAAATTTACACCAATCATGTTTGTTTACTGATTTGGTAAACAACCACCTTATAAAGCTCCTGGGATTATGAGGGATCCCTAGACTATGTATCTTTAAAACTATTTATATTTGAATTAATTCAAAAGTTTATTATTAACATGCCCATGATCCCGCTACTAGTTATTTTATATATAAATTATAAATTGATTCTAGAGTATTCTTTACTATGTTGTGAATTAATTTCTATATTTGGTAATATCCGAGACTGAAATAAAGGTAAAAAGCAAAAACTTCAAGAGCAAAATAGAAATGCTTAAAATCTCAAAGACATAGTTTATAAAAACTTAAAAATAATATTGAAGAAGAAGGGTGTATAAATGGATTTAGTAGTCACTTCTTTTTTAAATTTTCAAAATAATGTAAATAACTTTGTATTATTAAGCATTTTAATATAGAACAGTACTGAAAGAATTATTTTACTAAATTCCTCAAACTATGTTAAAGCTAATAGGTATTTTATAAGATTTAAAGCAAATATAATATTTAGTTGAATATAATAAAGTAGAATTTAACAAACAGGCTGAGTACATCTTTGCTTGTAATTGTAGTTTGAATATATATCTTACAACTACTCTTATAAGTATGAATCTGTTTTATATCTGATATATGAAGTGTCTTATATTAAAAGAGCTTATTTTGCAATTTTTCAAAAAATGAGTTTTTACTAGATTCATATAAATTTTGATATGATTAATATTTTTCAATTATCTCTTAAACCATCTAGCAAGCAAATTTGCCTGCTAAAATTATTTTTAAAAAGTTTTCTTAAAATTTATTTAAGCTTGACCCCCCTATTTATTGAATAGAATTAAAGATATTCCTTTTATATATAATA